CATTGGTTGTTGGCCTTGGTTTTTTCTTTACATGTCGGTTGTGTGAATCGAGTTTAGTACAGTGAGCCAAACACACGTGTGATTGGTTTATTTTGATTCGAATTGATTGTTGTTTTGGTAAATGAGTTGGGAATGGTGATTTTTGGGAGAATTTTGATTGTAAACTTTGATTATTGTTATATTTGATTTTGAACTGTTAATTCAATAGACTTTGAGTTTTTAGACAAGTTGCGAATTTCTTGGGCTCGTATTTTTACACAATCTATCCCAAAATAGTAATTGCCAAAAAATATCAACCTGTTTATATTGATTTCAATTTTTTTAATTAAAGCAACTTAAAGTATTTTTTTTTTCAAATTAATCGGTTTGTTTACATGGCACCGTGCCTTTCGGCACGGGTTACCCCTAGTTTATAATATAAAACAAGACGATTTCAACAAGTCTATCTTACAGTTTCAAATTTATTCATCTAATAGCCAAGAAATTACCTCTAAAAAATTCAATTGATCTACACGAAATTCCCCACCCCTCGCTTTTCTATCCCATCCCCAGCCGTTGGTGAAGACTTAAAAAAAAAAAAAACCCTTTCAAGCTCGCTTGTGCTCTCTCTCTCTCTCCCTCTTGCCTCATGACTCTTCCCTCACCAGTTTCATACCCCCTTTTCTCACCATAGCGCCACTTCCACTACCAACGCCATTAGGACTGCATACCAGCACCAAGCCACCATCTTTGGTAATCCCTCCACCGTGCGAACCCCTTATTTTCCCCAACCCTCCCCTCTCTACACACAAGCACAACTCCCCTTCCCCTCTCCTCTCCTTGGACCACTCTCAAGTTATCTATTTCACTTTCTGTTAAACCCATCTCCCCAAAATTTTCAAATTTCACAAATCCCTTTCTCACATGCATGAATCAACCCCACAACCTTCTATCTTCTCTCTCCTCTGTTCTTATCACTCTCTCTGCAACACCAACCACCACCAACAAACTAATGCCACACCACTCACAACCATGACCCAGATCCACACCCACCAGTGATGCTTCTCTCTCTCTCGGTTCAATCCCACACACGTGTCCACCCAACACCTTCACCACCAACTATAGACACCACATGTTTGTCAAAAGTTCTCATAGAGTTTTTGCTCTATTTCTGCCAAAGCACTGCATTTGTTTATTTCTCTCTCTCATTTGTTTGTTCAGTTACCACTCATTTTCCTGAAATCAATCGTTCTGTAGCTAATAGCTTTTTTTTTTTCCCGTGAACACATGCAACTTAACAAAGAGGATTTGACAAACTTAATTGCTCTATTGATTGGAAGCCAAGCACACAATAATCATTTTTTACTTTAACTTTGGTTAGAACCTTGCTATGTAACACAACATTCATGAATCAATTTGACTTTAATTTTATTGAAATTGAATTAAAGCTAATAGTGGTACTAATCATTCCAATCCATTGAATTGTTTTTTCCCATTTAGGTGTTTGATGAATTTCATGATTATGGTGCTTCACCCAAATTAATCCAATGAAGGTAACAACTTTCATTCAATTTTACTACAAAGACCTCTTCTTGGTCTTTTTTATTTGTTTTTAGTTCTTGAAGAAGTTTTTTTTATTAGTTTAAAATTATTATTATATTTTATATAACAACTTTGAGATTCATTGTGTTTTCAAAACCCTCTGTAAGTGGGCATGCCTTTCATTAACATAGTGACTTGGTGTGAAACTTAAGTTTAGATAATGTTTGTGCTTGAAGGCACTATGCAACATAAAAAATCTATAATTATAAAGAGATGTGTGATGGTTTTCGGTTTGGTAACAAAGTGCGGTCCATTGGAGTGGTAAGATAAATTTTGTTAGTCGGTGCATATTGGTTTGTGTGTGATTCAATAATAAATTTACAAACTATTGTTTAAAGGATGAACCAGTAGCCGATGACACTTGCTCATATATTTTTATTTTCTTTTAATCCATTTGGAAAAAATAATTTGTAATTTTTTATCGATTGTTGTTTATTTCTATTCCTATTGGTAATTTGGCGTCATAATCCTATCAGGGATTTGGTATTCAATTTAGATAGTTTCTCTCAATTATTAAGGCCTTTTTTCAAATTTTGTAGCGGCCTAGAGCATTTGCATCTACTTAGAGAGTTTGACCATGTTGGTTTTAGCTGTCTAACAATTTGGAGAATGCCCTTCATGTAAGAAGACAAGCTTTTGGTATGTAAATTACCTTTTTGATATGAACTGCATTGTAGCAGTTTAAACACTTCATATCTATACATGTATGCATTGAGTCTAAAAATCTCTTTTACTCTACGTAATTTACAATATTTCTTGATCAAAGGATGCAAATGTGTTTGAATTGCATTGGTAGTTATGATGTAATTAATCCGGTTTTTTATTGGTTAAAAAAATTATTAACCCTATAATATGCCACAACATTTGACCTATGTGTATGATTATAAAAAAGATATAACAATTAAAATGTATCCATTATTGGCCTTAAATTCATTGTTGAGTTGGTAAAATCAAAACATGCGGAAATAAGTTGCTTTGGGTTTGCTAACCTGGGGCTCAGTTTGAGCTTAAATAACTTCATTCCTCTTTTTTTTCTTTACTCTTTTTTGGTGCCAAATAACAGTAAGTTGCCAATTAAAGTTTTTCCTTTCTTAACAAGATTCTTTTTACGAATGATTGGACAATAGTGAACGGTGTTGTGAAAAGCGAGCCTAGGCGAGAAGTGAAGTGAAGCGAGCCTTGGTTGCCTTGAATATCTAAGGTGAAGCGAGGAAAAAACGAGTTTAGACGACGAAGTGAAAAAGCGAGCCAGGCGAGAAAAGTGAACGCCTAACTGTAATTTTTTTATTTTCTCCTCCTCCTTCTTTAACATTAACAACCAAACCCTAGCAGAGATAATGTTATATGTGTATATGCATAAAATAAATTGATTGATTTGTATAACAGTATCATATGACAATCTGTCTTATTATGATCAGATAATGTTGAATGCTTTGTTTTTATATGAATGCTCTTGTTAATCAATTTGCTTGGTTAATCAAATTGATTAATCAATTTGCATAAAATAAATTGATTGACTCGTGTAGCAGTATCATATAACAATCTGTCTGATTATGATTAGAAAATGTTAAATGTTTTGTTTTTATATGAATGCTCTTGTTAATCAATTTGCTATATGCTCTATTTAATTATTCAATTTGTGAGTACTTTGTTTGGTGGTGATATTAATCAATTACGGTGAAAGTCGAACCCACATTTGCTAACTTTACATTTAGATGACGTGATTATATCAATTGATTATTTTTAGAATACAATAATGTTCAATAATTAATATCTTGTCTATTTAAAATATGTTGATGTTTATTATTTTGATTGCATTTAAATATTTAATATTTGTAAAGTTAAAACTTGAATATTTAGGAGTAATCTAAGTATGAAACTAAAATATTTGCCTATTTTTTATATTGTTCGTTTTGCTTCAATTAAGCGCTCGCTTCGCTTCTCACCCTCAGGAGACCGGTTCTCTTCGATTCGCTTTACGCCTTAAATAACACTGGTAGTGAAATTCCAATATCATCTTTGATATGTTTATGTGCATTCATTTTAAACTGAATTCAAGACCTAATGACATCAACTTTGCTTAGTCATTGTAGTGAGTTCTATGGCATATTTGCTTTTCATATATTTATTTCCCTCATTGTCTTTGTCAAGACGAAAAATTGTTGATTTTTGAGCGTTAGTGACCTCGATATGAATGTTTATGTAAGGGTGAAATACTAACACTTCCTTGGAGTGTGTATTATTTTAGGCATTCTCTATGTTAGGTTTTATGCACTTTGGGTATGATAACGTGTTTGTACTTTTCCTTCAATGAAAAGAATTCGCACTTTGTTAGAGAGCAAGTGCATTTCTCACGTCTACTACCCCTCTCACTTCTATTGCACTTTCTCACTTCTCCCTCTCTATCAAGTCTTTCCTCTCTATTGTCCTTCTATCTTCTTTTATTCTTGCCTTTCTCGCAACTCCTTCTATTTCTATGTTCTTAGATTTTAAATATTTTTTGTGTGCCATAACATTGTGTTTGTGTTTGGAGAATTGCTTTCGAATCTTATGGTACAACTCTTTAAATTAGAGAGATTTTATCAAGCATTTTCCGACTGTTAACTAGTTATCGATTAAATTAAAAAAGTGTCATTACCAAATTAGGCTAAGTTAATTGGTTGGTTCTATGTTTCATCTTTTTTTTTTCCTGTTCTTTTTTAGTGAGCTAATTTCTTCTTGAAATTTTCATGTTATTTACACCAAGTTTCCTCATTTTTCTCCCCCTAAAATCAGCTCTTGAATTACACAGAGAATCGAACTTTATCAAGGAAAAATTGTCTCTACCGAAATACTGCAAGTTAATTGGTTCTATATTCAGTCTTTTTTTTTTTTCCATTTGCATATGTTTTTTCACTCTAATTTCTACTGGAAATCTATATATTTGAAATGTTTTACACTGTGATTGCACAGAACCTCCGATGGGTAGTCATGTCTTTGTTTTTACGCCAAGGTGAGAGGTAAAAAATTGGACTTGCTGTGAAAGATTGTACATTTTGCGTACATATTAGAAATCTGTCAATGGGGGGCATGTATCAAGAATCAAGAATCTTTATTGAAATATGTAACTGAGTTTATGTAACTGAGTTTTCCCTATCTCTTTATTGAAATATGTTTTCACAAGAATCTTTATACTGGTAATGTTTTGTTTAGCATGTATGCAAAGTACGGGTGTATTAAGAATACAGTTTAGACACTTGGTAATTTGGTTGAGCCTAATGTGTGTCTATATTCAATTTTATTTTTTTGTGTCCATGAACAATGTTCGATATATTTTTGTTATTACACAGTGCCTTCAGGTACGGGTTATCCTTAGTAAGATTATAAGAACAGATAATCGTTTGCTACTTTCAGCTTCTGATCTTCCATTTCGACTAAGAATGGATTCTTCCGTGAAGTCCTTCAATCCGAACAAGCATTTGAAAGAACAGTTACGACCTCGACAATCCCTCTCTCTAAGTGTGTGTGTGTGTTTATGTTGTTTATTACATGCTTAAAATTTCTTACATATCTATCGACCAGATTTGTGAGCAACTTGACAGGATCTTCCATGCTTGAACTCTTCGTACTCTCAACTATGCTACCTGTAAGTCCTATAATTCCACTTTTTCCTCAATCAATTCTTCAAAACATTATGATTTTATACTTTCTCATATTTCCTTCTTGTTATTTTGTGATTCTAGGTTGTGGTACTCATACGCCGTTCCATCGGTAAGATAAACGAATTGATTTGCTACATTTGGTTTTGCTTGATTTGCTACATTTAGTTTTGCTTGATTTGCTACATTTAGTTTTAATAATCATACTTGTACTCGTTTTAGTTTGGAGATTGGGGTGGTCTTGAAGAGGGGAGGGCTACCTGTCATTGTGTAACCTAGCTCAGTGGTCCAGAAAAAAGGGGAAAAAAGCCTAGTTCAGTGTTTCAAATTGTGAAAATTTGGTTAACTACTTGACTACAGTTTCCTCATCAAAAGGAGCTGTCAGCTGTATACCCCTGAACTTGGATTTTTCTGCATTTCGATATCACTGTTTGGTTCTTTTGAAGTGTTGTACCAGATATCATTTAGGTGTAGAATTTAATTTCTTCATTAGCTCTCAATACAGTTTCGGTCGATTCTGTGTACTGTTTGGGTTATTTCATTATCTTAATTGAGCTCTGAATTACATTGATGGGTTTGTTGTGTTGGATGTTTTGTCTCTTCAGGCTCTGTTCCCACAGATACCACATCCAAGAAAAATGACAATCCTGTTGTTAATTCTAAAAAATGGAAAGGGTACTTCACGACAATGACTCTGGATTTCCTCTTCCTTGTTCTTCCTGTCTTATTACTTTCCACTGTAAGTGTTCTCACTGATCTTGAAGCTTCTGCTTTGACTAAACCATGAGGACCTCACACCGTCTGGTTCACTTTGGATTAACACCTAAGCATGGATTTTTTTTGTTTTGTTGATTTTTGCATCCTCAATAATTTTGAGTATTATCATTTGTTAGAATCAATGTCTGGTCATAAATTGGGAAAATGTTGCCATGAGGTTGTAAAATGAAGTTTACTCTAACGGTGAGGTGTACAATTTTGTATGAGATATTGTAATTATTGGTTTTCTACATAATTTAAGGTGGAGGCAGTATTAAAGATCAGTGCGGTTCAGTCATTAGAAACTTGCTTAATTGGTTCTCATGCTTTGGTTTTATATACTCTGTATTGCTGTTGTGATGCATGTTCCTCAAGTTGTTTCTTGTTTGGGATGGGAGTTTATTTTTATTTACAAGAATAATGAATGGCAGGTTCTAGCAGAATGGACCTATATAAATGCAATTTTTGTGATGCTACTACTGGTTTTCTGCATTGCTGCTCAGAGGTAAAATTTACCTGTAATAGATTCTTTATCTTGTTTATGTTCAATTTTTTGGTCTTGCTTTTTTTTTTTTTTTGGGTTAATTCTTTGTTGGAAGAAGTTTTAATAGGACATATCTAGATTGCATAAAAAACTGAGCATAGACATGACTACCACAAAATAACATACTAAAAAATCTATCTACCTTTCAATACAGATTTGGGTCTTCTGTTTTTCAGGAAGATGGGATCCGTTCTCTTAGGAGTAATATCTCATCGTATAGAGTTTTGATGGTATGCAGTCTCACATGCAGTTACATTTCTTTGTTTTTTAATTTTTCCTTTTCCTTTTGTGCCTATAATGGATAAACTCTCTTTTCCTTGGGATTTTTTATTTTGGCTGTAACGGTGCCTGATGCAGATGCTCGTGACATGCTTGTGTATTTTGGCTGTTGATTTCAAAATATTTCCTAGAAGATATGCTAAAACTGAGACTTATGGTACTAGTTTGGTAAGGTCCCTGCTACTATATTAAAGATCACATTTATGTATTTTCTCTGTGTGTGTGTATAATTGATCATTTTATTGCTTTAAGTTGAATGTGATTTCATTCCCATTTCATTCAGGGCTACTCATGTTTTAGTGCAAAAACCAGAGAAGAGATTTTATGATTAGTGATAGATGGTGCTGGAGCCTAGATTTTGTCCCTGGGAGAGGAGAAACCTATTATTAGTGAATACAAAGTCATCTTGCATTATCACTAACTTTGTTCACGATCATCATTATTACCTCTGTCATACAAAATCAATAACCTTTTTTTTTTTTTGGTTAAATTAAATTTTGTAAAAGCTTTTCGGTGTAAACTTTGTGGGAAAACAACAAAAAGAGCAGTCTTGAGCCACACTGCAAATGTGGAAACACTGTTTTGTGCCTTCATGAGAATATTTCTTGTTTAAATTATATTACAGCTTCTGCTTTGGTCGTTAGTTCTTCAGGTTCAGTCCTGGTGACACATTTTTTATGCTGTTGGAGCATGTTTTGAATACATTTCCATATTACTGGGAAAACAAAAACATCCAAGTGTTGTATGGGGGCCTAAATTTCAATGACATCCATTTTATTTTAGCTCCCTTTCCCTTGGCGATGAAAGAAAAATGAGAGATCCATTTTAGGGGCAGGCACTTTTGTATAATTAGTTTTTGATGCCAAGACACTACTACGTAGTTTCAGCTGTCCTATTTGGGTCTCCAAGAAAGTTATTTCGAGAGTGAGAAGGGTTTTTCTTTATAATAACTGTATTTTGTGATTTCTGTCTCTAGAACTCAATTATAACTGGACCTATGTATAACGAGAATGTTATTTTTGGATGTTGGAGGAAACAAGGGGGTTGAACTGCCCCTCTAAAGTCCTACCTGATATGGGAGGGGACTCTTTGTCCTTTTGGCCAATTTTGGTTGTGAGGAAAAAGGGGGATTGGATGAAATGGGACAAATGCCTCTTTGTCCTGTGTTTGCCATAATCATCAAGAGCTGGACAACGATAGGATCAACTATATTGGTATCCGATTAGTGATTTGTATGTGGTAGTGTGGTATCTTGAGAGGATGGTATTTCCAAATACTCAAAGCAATCAAAGGACAAAATTGCCCTTGACACACCCAAATCCCCAATCTCCACCATCTCAATTGATGCTCACAGCTCTCTCTCCTCCCCCCCTTCTCCTATTTACTTCTCCATACCTTTGTTCATGTCGAGTCCATGGCTCTGACAACTCCATTGGTGACATTTTAGCGGGTTATTCTTATTGATTGCACTCCACTTCACCCTCTTCATTTTTTTATCAAAAAAATAGATGTGATCTTCACCAACCAAAACTTTAATTTCGTCTTCTAGGGTTTTGAAATGAGGTGGCATGTCCAGGTTTTGTCATGATCTGGTGTAAATAGTAATAACCCTTTTGTTTTTTGTGACCACACCAGATGGATCTTGGGGTGGGCTCCTTTGTGTTGGCAAATTCATTGGTTTCGCAACAAGCCAGAGGCATCTCGAGAATGTGAGTAAGTTTTTTTGCTGTTATCATGTTGAATTTTCTTTCTATGAGACAAATGTATACATGATTGACAGAGGTTGAACTTGAAGTCCTGCTGTCTTGCTACTGCTTTCTTCTAGCAATTCATGCACTTTCATTATTTTAAAGTCACACTCAGTATCCTTCCTGTTGTAGATAATGGCTTGGTAGAACATCTTCATATGATGATACCTCCCTATCATCCTGACAAGGGATTCGGAGGATGAGTCTTATCACATACATATAAAGATGTGTATGTGTTTCTTATGCCTCATCTATTCGCCATGGGTGATTATGAATTTACTTGTCATTGAAAAATAGTTGTATGCCATAAAATTTATATAAGTTTATAGAATGTGTGGTGTAGTATATGAAACATAGTTATTTGCAGCATGTGCCTGTCCCAGTCCTATTGCTTTTAGGATTTTCCATGTTGACGTTTCCATTTCATATGGTCGTCATGCCCATGAATTTACTCGTGCTTCATAGCCTATAAGTTATGGTGGTATTATATATCCTAGTAGTGATTTCATTACTATAGCGGTATATCCATTGTTGAATTATAAATACTTAAATTAGACCATCTCCAACAGCTTAAGTTTTTAAAGTAGATGGTTATTTCATATGGTATCAGAGGAGGTCCTATGTTTGAATCACACCGTCATCCTAATTATTAAAAAAGTTTAGCTTGCACGTGAGGGGGCGTGTTGAATTAGATGTTTATCAGCCACAATCGATGATATTTTGAGGTTCTCACACATGGGAACCTATATTAAAGTAAAATCTAATCGATTTGTTTTTGAACGGTCGACTCTTGATGCCTACAATTATTTTCCAAAGTCCTTTTGCACATCATGGTCTCTTGCAATTGGAGTGGTTCTTGAGTTTTAAAAACCTTATAATTATTGGGTGATATAACAAATCTTGCCCATGTGTATTTGTTTCTTGCATCTCTTACTTTTTGTCAACCCAGTCTCCCGACCAGCGTGTGTGTGGTTTTTTTTTTTGGAGGGGGGGATTCATGGAAAAAAGGGAAGAAGTCCCCACAGTTTTTTTTGAGAGTTGAAATGTACTTGACTTTACGGCTCCACTCATTGGAACCAATTTACTTTTCTCATTGTCATTGATTAATTATGAATGGACTTTCTTGTTTCTCCTTGCTCCTTCAGGAAATTGAGAAATGTGCTTCAATCTACTAGCCCACTAATTTTTCTAGGGTTTGCTCGACTTGTTTTCACGGCAGGGTGGACTATCAGGTAGAATAGTCTTTTGTTTGTCTTTGTTTTTCACGCATAGATGATGTATTTGCTTATGGCAGTGGATGTATAGCAAATGGGTTAAGCTTGTGCTGGACTCTTGATCCTGTCAACCCGACTTTTTAAAATTAGTGATCTATTTATTTTAATGTTTTAAGTAGTGTTTTTATTTAGAATACATAGAGAATTGGCCATTTAGCGTTAATAAATGGCTTGAGTACAAGTCTGAGCTTTCCAATTTGATTATATTTTGGAGGGTTACTGATAGGAATCAGATTATATTTCGTTATAATAGGCGTAGACGTAAGGATTAAGAGTTATTTGTTATTTTACTTTTCAGGGGCTTAGTTGTCATTATGATTATTTAGTTCTTTAGAGTTGTTTTAGGATTTGTGTTCTCCCTCTGTATATATAGGGGATATGGTATTTGTTT